GGCCTTGGTTTTCAGAATCTATCTATTTTTAATCTCGCTTTGCTTGCAAAATTAGCATGGAAGCTTCTGCGTGATGGTGATTCCCTTTGGGGAAAGTCAACGAAGGCAAGATATTTCCCCCATACAGATTTCCTTTCAGTTCCAATAGGCTCGAACCCATCTTGGGGTTAGAGAAGTGTGATTGATGAAAGGAATTTCCTAATGAAAGGCCTAATTAGAAGAATTGGAAATGGAAGAACAAAAAACGAACATCGGGGAGGATCAGTGAGTTCTGTTGCTACCAAACGGAAAAATTTAGACCCCAAAGCCAAATCAAACAAGTCTACACCAAGTGGTTGATTTGATGTTGCAGCATCCCTAGAGATGGAACTTGAATGTTCTTAGACAGAATATTTCAAATCAAGAGGTACAAGCCATCCTCACTATCCCTCTTCCTTGGCACGACTTTGAAGATATCTCGATATGGAATTGCACTAATGATGGAGCTTACACAGTGAAATCGGGACACCATCATGAGTGGGGAGCCAATAACCCCATGTTACACCCAAACAAGGAACTTTGGAATCTCATTTGGCAATCTCAGGTCCCCAAAAAGTTAAAAACTTTATTTGGCATTGTTGCACAGGAGTAATAGCAGTGAAAAAAAAACCTGCTCACACCATATTACAAATCAAGGTCAGTGTCCCAAATGCCCCCATGAGTTGGAATCCATTCAGCACTTGCTCTGGTTTTCTAACTTTGCTAGAGCAGTATGCATTATAATCCCCATGAGTTATCGATATGGTAATTTTCAGTACAATAACATAGAGGATTGGATAATGAGTTGGAAGCAAACTCCTTGGTGGAGCTCAAATGATAAGAACAAATGGATAGCTCTTCACTTTATCATATGTTGGAACATCTGGAAAGCCAGGAATGACTGGCATTTCAACCAAGTGGACAGACACCCAACTTTAGTAGTAGCTCAAAGCATTAGTCAGTTCGAAGAGTATAGTACATCTTGTAAGTTTAATGAAATCTCATTTTCTATTACCAAAAAAAAAAAGAGTTCAGGCCAAGTTGTGGCAACTAGAGTAACAATTGATGGATGTGCCTTCTATAATTACAGGTTTCTTGGGTGGCAAGTATACTTGGCCTTGTAAGTTTGGTCGAAAAGTTATAATGTTGATAAATCCCATAATGAAAAAGAAATAATTTTGAGGGAAAATTCCCGATTAATACCTTGTACTTTGGGCCTACTGCCACTTTGGTCCCCGAACTTTAAAACACAACAATTCAATATCTGAACTTTCAAAACGTGTCAATCTAATACCTGTTGTAAACTAGCCCGTTAACCAGTCGTCTAATGGCATTTGAAAAGACAAATGCCCTTCGAATGTCATCTAATTCTCTTTATCAACCATCCAAACGTTAACAAAAAAATGAACAGTTCCAAATCCTTGCCTCTTCTATTCAAAAAAGTTGGGGTCATGAATCAGTAGGCATTCTGGTGATCCCAACTTTCTAAAATAGAAGAGGCAAGGATTTGGAACTGTTCATTTTTGCTCACATTTGGAGGGTTGGTAAAAAGAGTTAGATGGCACTCGAAAGACATTTGTGTCTCTTCAAATGCCACTTAACGGGCTAATTAACGACAGGTACTGAATTGACACGTTTTGAAAGTTTGGATACCGAATTGTCACGTTTTAAAGTTTGGAGACCCAAGTGGAATTAGGCCCAACCCAAAGTACAAGATCAGGAATTTTCCCTAATGTTGATAACTTGTGCTGATGATATTTTTTACCAATAATGAGTCATCCTTACCGGCTTCGTCTCTAGCTAGTGAATCCATTTTAGCATACTTGATTAGGTTCAGACATTTGAGTTGATTTTTTATTCCACTTTTAATTGCTAAAATGTCTTTCTTATTTCTCTTATGAATGTTATTGCAAGACCATTTATGATCAAAGAGAATTCAGCAGAGTATGAGTGGTTCAACTGTAATTAGCTTTCAGACTTTTTTCGGTACAGTAAATATGTAAACATATGGAATGGCTATGTTTTATTGTCTAAAATTGCTTAAAGCCCCCATTGGAAGAATTAAACGTGAATTTAAATACCAAAGAGAAAAGGTAAATGTTGATACTGGATTAAGAATTTCATCAATTTAAAACGTTATAAAGATGAATTTTCAAGCTGGCAAAATCTTGAATTCTCTCTCACCTAGTTGTAGGTATCCTAGCCACTTGTGACTTGTGAGTAGGAACAAACAAATAATTTCCTTAAAAAGATCTAGTATATGGTTTTACATGGGGAAAACAGTACTTGAAGGATTGTTATATTGAAGGAAGCGTGGTGGATTTCCCTTGAAACATTGCCACTGAAGGATTCATAACTGCACAAAGAAGGAAATCTTCTCAAGAGTCAATCGGTTGGTTGTGTCCCTGAGGTGCATGGCTTCAGGTTCTTCTTTCCGCTCTCCATCTATGAGATGGCATGATGTGTGTTCTAGTGCATATTTTGGCATTTTTTATGAGTACTCTCAATCAACATCGTTCCTTACAAATGCAGGTTGAGGAAAACTAAGCTCTTCAAAGAGTAAAAATACTTACATTTGTTGGTTTCATTTCTTCAATTTCATGAACAAACTCTAATAATACTGACTTACATTTGTTAGTTTCATTTCTTCAATTTTATGAACAAACTCTAATCCATGTAATTGGTAAAGAAAGTGTATGACGTGTGAATATGTGACATCTCTCCTTTTTTTTATATATAAATTTGATAATGATATATATACAATATAATACCAAGGTTTTTAAAATCCGTCTGGACAACGACTCATTCTGGGTCCGGTTCCCAGGTTGAGCGGTCCGACTGTCTAGTCTGAACAGACAGCCTGCTCTGACAAAAAACTTTAAAAAAATTAAAATTTTAAAAAACAATAAAAAGGCCAAAACAATTCCCAAGATGAAAACAGTTTGACGATTCAACCACCCGGGTCAGCAATTCACTGACCAAATGGTGTTTGGCCAAATAACAGTTTTGGGGTAAAACGGACCCAAACAGGTTACCGTTTCCCAGTTTTTCTGGTCTGGCCATTTGCATCATTTCCAGGCGCAGCCATAAGTGAAACAAATTCCAAACTCCAACCACATCCCGATCACTTAATCGTTCATTATTGGGCTAATCCATGTACAGTTAATTAGAACAATTTTTTTTACAATAACTTGCAGTGAAAGTATTGTTTTACATCCATTATGGACGTAAAAATCCACTCTATCAAAAAGTACGCAAAACTGAAATAGAGTAAAGTTTTACATCGATCATGATAACACTCTCCTTCCAAATACAGAATCAAAATGGTGTAAACAGTTACACCGTTCTTGATTTACACCGATTCCAAATGCAGCTAATGAATTATGAAAATGATTATCCCTATAATTGAAGGCAAATGAGGCCATAAATTTTCCCCATATGATGCAATTAGAAGCAATACATATATGTAGAATGAAACAATTCATAAAAATTGCAAAGTTGGATTAATTTTGCATCAACAAATTACCTTTTTACCAAACAAAATTTCAACTATAATGGATGCAAACATGAATTTCAATAAAACAGACTTTTTCTTATCAAAAGTCCACTTGAATGCAACTTAATTTATTTTTTCTTGATACACTTTTACATATTATTATCAATATAAATATCCATTGGTCTGTCTTTTGTCAATGCATAAATGTAAAGTTGAAACACAGGCAAAAGTGTACCAGAATGCAAATTTAACCCGAACTGGGATTTACATTCAATTTGCATCATTTCCAAACACAGCAACAAATTCCAAACTCCAACCACATCCCGGTCATTTAATCGTTCATTACTGGGCTAATTCATGCACAATTAACTAGAACAGATTTTTTTTCCAATAATTTGCAGTGAAGGTGTTGTCTCAGCAACATACTACCACGAAAGCTGGCAAACCAAATCAGAATCTAACCAATGGAGAGGATGGAAAAAGGGAAGAACGTGGCCCCATCAACGAAACTAAGAAACACAATGCCAAGTCAGATTCACTTTGCTTTGAAACACCACCGTCTCACCAAGTCCATTATCTTCTATATTTTTAATATTATAAATATTAGGATATTCTTCAAGTAATACCGAACTATCACCATATCACGCACTTGCAAACGGTAGTGGAATTTGATTTGTGTTTCAAATTGTTGTCAACTTGTGATAAATGATATTTCATATGCGTGTAATTTATTGCTTTCTACGCCTCCCGCCTTTCCTCGAAAAAGTAGCGTCAACCATTAAAACTTGCAGAGCATACACAAAACAAACCAAAGAAAAAATTAAAACAAAATACAAAATCCCAACAACAGATTGACCTAGAAGTAGTCACTTCCAGAGTTCCGACCTTGGGTGAGAAAGGAACGTCTTTGGTATCTATTTTTCACTTTAATAAAGGATTCTGCAGTTACAATTTCAATGATAATAGATATAAAATTCCACCCAAATGTATCACATGGACTCTAGTAGTCAACTAAGATAACAAATGAAGAGCAACCAGTTGATACCAGCCTACCACCAAGACACTAAGTTCAATATCAAATTATCAACTAGATAACCACATTACATACATACACAGACAACACAAATAAATTTATCTTTGTAGCGTCAAGCACGATCATCTGAGTCAGACATACCGTACCCGTTGGTTCTTTCACCCATCATCGCTGTGTTTTCCATTTAATCGATTATCTAATATATGGAAAGGCACACTATTGAACTGTACACATCCAGCTTACACCAACAAACACATCTTGAAAACAAAATAGAAGAGCACCTTATATTACATGTAAAGCAAGCAATGCAGTGCAACTAGGAACCCATACAATATCAAAAAGCAAAAACTAGGGATTCCCATCAAAACTTTAAGCCCACTGCAGCATAATCAGGTCTAAAGTTAGCAAAGGATATAGACAAATAAAAACTGAAGCCCATATGGAGTGGAAACGAAAGAAAACAAAAAAATCATGTTTCACACAAGATCAATGAATAGAATTCCATTACCAACAAAAATTATATCTACGCACTGAACCAACAGTATATGACTAATATGAATAATACTACTAGCTTTCACTCCTTGCTAATAAGGAAAATAGAAACATACAACTAATAGGGTAGTGCATCAGAAATAAACAAATTGCGTCCCTACGCTCAGTAGTACCTAACAGAAAGGAAATGAAATGAACTGCAGGAGTAATGATATACAGATATCCTCTGTTTTCTAATGGTTCTGGGAGTAATCAAAACTCAATGGTTGTTGATAAAATGGAGCCTGCAGTAACAGTAATGGGCAATAAACAATTAGAGATGAAATAAGAGTATAAAACATACACCAAATTCTTAAGATGGCTCTGCAGACACCAGAATACGATGGTCCCACTTCAAAGATCTCCTAACCAAGAATTGACCAGTAACCTTTTAGACAGGAAACAAAGGATAGAAAGGTTCTAAATGATCCCTTCTCTTCCGATTGGTAGGATGACAATAAGCCAGCCTACCCACCCACCCAATAAACCACCCAACCAATCATTGCCTTCCGATTTATCTGCCCTACAACAAAATTAAAGATCCAATAAAGGCAAACCAAGTTTGGTTGACCTATCACATATTCTAACCCAAGGGATTTCCAGTCTCACCCATTTCCTCTTGTGACTCCAATATGTTTAGAGTGAAGCCCACTAACAGGCTGGCATAATGGCAATATTTATGGAAGGCACGAAGTGCAAATTCATCATTAATAACTATCATTCCTTGCACCATTATAAAAGTGACTCAGACATTAACATGTATGGGTATCACCTTTGTATGTGCTATGGACACGAGTTGTCATAAAGACAGCCATTACACTTTGAATGCACACGTGCCATATCAAAAAACAAGTCACAGACCCAGGAAAATGCTTACTAAGCACACTAATTAGATAGTTATGACTAAAAAATTACTGAAGTGCTAAGACCTCTGTCTTTCAAAGTTTGCACCTTTTCTTCAGAGACCAAATGGATACCAGTAATCAGATCTTTTATCTTAATCATCCAGGAGATCCCCAAAGTGGAACCACCAAAAAAAGGTGTAACAACAATCTGCAAGCATCTTCAACCCATTTCTATTTCATTAATGATATCAAAATATGTAAGCGTAGCCTACCTGGAAGACAGCATGTCTAAGTTGCTCATATGACTGAGCATACATCATTGCAGGACTAGGCCAGTGCATATACATGGGGTCCCTAGAAGTCTGATTTAATCCCACAGAACAAAATTGGCCCACGGCTGGATTTGAAGGCCTGTAGCTGAAGGATGTCTGAGTACTCTGTAATTGGTTCAGAGGAAACCCAGATTCATACTGCATGAATGAAGGCTGAAAGCTTTGGATATTGAAAGGCCCCAAGGCAAATATCTGATTAGGCGTAAGGTTCCTAACATACCTGCAGAAGCTGAAATGTATCAGTTTTACCAGTTGACAATAACTACTTTTTACCCCAATTAAGAGAAAGCAGCCTTACCTTTCATAGCTCCTGTCATAATCTGGGTCAGAACGATCTTTCTCCCTGTCTTTGAAAATGGCGACTCTGGAAGAACTACCATCCCTTGTGCTAGTAGGAGTCTTGTCTGGCTCATCCACAGTTATCCTGCAACCTTCACTCTCATCTTTGCTTGAACATGAGCTTCTTCCATCATTTGCTACAGATGAAGAACCTTCTAAGTCAGAACTGCTGGAGTTACTGAAAATGCGAGCCCGTGCTCTATCATACTCCTCCTTCCTCTCTTCCACAGTTCTAAGAGTAAGTTTAATTCCCTGATCATTTGCATCATTTGATGAAGCTTTATGTGACCTTGGCCTGATGGCAATCTTAACCTGTTCAGGTCTATCACTTTCTGGCTGTTTTGCAGTAATCTCTGATAGACAGACAGCAGGAAATCTGCTTTCGGATGTTTTCGTCACCACTATTCTAATTCCCAGGCCATCACTGACATTATCCATTACCATAGACTGAAGACCATAGTGTTGAGCAACACGATGAGCTGCAAGCCTGAGGTAGGATGTTGGGAAATGTTGAAACTCAAATTGCTTTTGGTCAGGATTTTGCATAAATTTCTGAATATCCAGCTCCATACGCAGAACTGAAAAGATAAACAAAAAAGCAAAAAATCATAGGAGAAATTAAAAAAAAAAGAGGAAAACCAAAACATGTATCTTTACCATTTCAGTGACCACATGGAATCATGTAGCAAGAATGCCAAGAAAGACTAAAACCAAGAGAAGGAGAAGGAGTGCAGTAAATCAAAAAGTTGACGTCACATTTGCATCACAAAAGTGACATGCTTCATAAAGAATGAATCTTGAACAGACATGCAGAATACATTACCTAATAAAAGAATTGTCAGGCCCGGCAACAAGAAAGGACTCACTACAAAACACAGTAAAACGAATAATCTACTTCAAAACTATACACAATAAGCTCCAAAGGACCTCATTTAAAGAACACTCCTCAGAACAACCCACTCCCCGAATAAAATGTATGAAAGACATATCTTTCAGAATCTCATTATTCAAGTCAATACTACTCTGACTTGCACTTTCTGCTTTCTAAATACACAATCTAATTGATAATTTTTTATGTAAAAGACATTCAAGTTAATTCACATTTTTTTATCCTCTTCGTCTAAATGTTTTCAAAGATAAAAGATTTTCAACAGTCAACTTTCTTTTGATGGACTTTTCAACTCAGTGAACTTGAACACATCAATTGAATTAAAAAGTGATTAATTATAATTATTAGTCAACTCTCTATCTCCTTCCTGCATTAATAAAATAGACATCTGTTAATTGCTTTATCATAGACTATATAATTGTCTTAATTTTACTATTGTTTTTTATTCTTTTATGTAACATCAATTGTAATGTTTTCTGGTTGCTAAACCAACTACAGAAATGAGATAATTCATAAGGAAATAGAGAATCAAGCTAAAATCACCCAAAATTATTTATATAAAAATTAATTCCACTGTCACTCATCTATGACTAAATTAATAAAAAATCCAATTCCTAAAAACTGAACACTTAATACTAAGGAAGTGTGCCTTCACAATTATGTTTCAGTCTCAGTTGAAACTAAGGCTCTGTTTGTTTGCGATACAAACACCGAACCAGGGTATTTATGTACCCCAGTTCGCGTTTGTGAGCATTTGCTTGATATGTAAAAAAGTAATGATTACCATATGTTGAATGTTGATTGTTGAATGTATGAGAGATTGAGAGAGACACAGAGGGAAGATTGAAGAGATTAAGAGAATAAGAGAATTGTTGAATGTTGATTGTTGAATTGGTGTGATAAGAATGGTGGAGGATAGGGGCCATAAGACTATTTATAGGAATTGGAAATAATTCAATTGCCCAAAATACCCTAAAAACTAACTGTTTTTTAGTTGTTAAGAGGGGTATTTTGGTCATTGCAGTGTTTTAAAAGCGCAAGTCACTAAAAAGACACAAGGGCCATTTTGCACCAGAGGCGCAATGTGCAAGGCGAGGTGCGCGTCTTTTCGAGGCAAGGCACACAATTTAAAAAAAATCTAAAAATTCAAAAAAAATCAAAAAATTATAAAGCATAATATTAATAAAAATATTAACTTAAGTTTTAAAATAAATGTTTTAAAAAACCTATTATCTAAAATTAAAATACATAAATATAATATGTAAAACATATTCAAATGAGAATTTAAAAATGAAATCAAACATATAAAACATTTTAAAGCATATAAAACCCACAATCTCTTTTTTTCTCAATTACATCAAGTAGGTAATGTGACATATTACATTCCTAGTTCTACAAGCCACCTTTGTGCCACGCGCCTCGAGGCCAGCCCAAACAAGTCCATGTTAGGGTCTTAAATTCTTAGATTTCACACAAAAAATAATAATTTTATAGTTTTAATTGCTTTTAAGAAGATATTTTATTAAGATAAATGAATGGACAACATTACCAAAAAGCGGCAAATTTTCAAAAGGCGCACACCAGGGCTAAGGCACACCAGGCGTACGCCTTTTGAATGGGTTACACCTAGGACCTAGATGAGGCGCCTACCCTAAAATGCACCTCGCCTGAGCACCTAGGCCCTGCGAGCTATGTCGTGCCCGCTCGTGACGGGCCAAGGTGGAGGTTAAGCCGCGGGCTGGGCCGTAACAACACGCGGGCCGCAGGCGGAACAAACCATCAAGTCGGGCCTGGCATGACATGTGGGCTGAACACCTCTACACTAAATAACCCCCCCCATTCTGCTCAACCATATAATCAGCCATAGAAGCATCTGTGTTAAAAGAAAACTCAAATAAGTTTGGGAACAAATCCTTCAGCATGCTATTACCACACTAGAAATCCTTCCAGAACTTTGCCACACTTGGCTCCCATGGTGGGCAAATTTCCCACCTTGCACACCGAATATTCTGCCCACCTGAGACTACACCTGTCTTCTATTTTTTCCCTTTATACATTTATGTTGCCATAAATAAAGAAAGACTAAAAAGGGTAGAATCAGAAATGAGTGCATCAGAGAGGACTTAGGAGTCTCTCCAATAAGTGGAAAGTTGTGGGAAAGTTGACTGAGAAGGTTTTTGTCATCTGAATAGATGACCAATGACAGCACCAGTGAGAATAAGTAAATTGATTCAAGTAGAAGGCTTTAAAGGAACAAGGGGAAGACCAAAGAAAATGTGATTTGAGTTGGTAATAAAATAATTTAAGGGGTTATGTTTTGACAGAAAAAATATCTCTTGGTAAAGAAACATGGCAGGACCGGATTTATGAAGGCAACCCCAAACAGATGGGATTAAGGCCAAGTTGAGTTGAGTGTGCACTTTACGAGGGCTTGCATAGATTTGACCCCATTGCATATCTAAATATCCAACCTTGATATAAAGTGTTCACAGAAAGAAAGTCTAACATCCAAAATTACATAACCATTCCATGTATCTTAGAACTTAGAAGTTATACTAAGGTAGCTTGACAAAGCACTTAAATTCATATTCCCGCTTCTTCAGCTTAGATTAAGTCATAATTAAATCAATAACACTCCAACTGATCATTCTGTCTATAGTTTCCATTTGTATAGTAACTTAAACCACTTGCAGCATTATTTATGCCGCCAACCATCCTACATCTTCTTCTGTTTCCTCTTCTAAGAAAGGATATAAAGATTCTCAAAACAATAGACCCCATAGTGTAACCAAATTCAGTTTGCCTGAGACCAGCAAATTTGGGTCCCATCAAATTTGCTCATACTTCATATATAGTTGAAGTCATTTGAATCACTTAAAGAGGAGGATCCGTTTCCCTTTCCTTCTCATTAGAATTTTACTGGAAAAATGTTCAGATGTCTCTCCATCTGACAGAGACAAACAGACCCAGAAAGGTACAGAAACCTAGCTCTTACGTTGACAATAACAGTTAAACGAATACAAATCTAGAGACATGAAAACAAGTCCATGTTGTTGGCTATCAAATGAAAACCCTCGTCGTCTTAATTTCAAAAGGCAGAAAGTTAAGGGAGCATTGTGAACTATGTATTCTTATGACATAAAAACTCTTATAACTAATGAGCTAGAAAAGAACCTATCATGAATCATGATAATTGGAAGTTAGAACGCGCGGATCTACGAAGAATTGAAGCCCAATTATGAAGCGAATGATGAATGAGCACACCAGAACACTCGTATATAATAGTCACCGAAAATAGAAAACCCAGATCTGAGTTTAAAATCCTAAAAAGGAAACAGTCCCACCACTCCTACAACCCTTAAGAAGAACCAGAATCAAGGTACTCCAATTGAAGAAACATATGCACAATAAATTCTTTCAAAAGAAAAACAACAAAGAAAAGGAAAACTTCGTAAGATCCTAAACAAAAACCACTTCCAAAAACAGAAAACAAATCAACATCACCCCCAAAAAAATAGCCCTCTAAAGAGTAGCAACAATAGGACAAAAAGTGAACAGAAACAACAACGATAGATACGAGAACAAGGGCAAAAAGGAAGAGAACAAAGGAATCTAACCAGTGAGACGATGGCGAGGGTTCTGAAGAGCCTCCTTCAAGAAGGGATCCACCAGAGAAGCTGCCACATCCTTGTCCTTCTGAGAGGGCGACAAGCTATCGTGGGCCGAGGGAGGAGAATCCATGAATGGAGAAAGAGAAGAAGTGCTCTTCTGTGCCCTTCAAAGAGGAGGAGGAGGAGGAGGAGGAGCTTTCTCTCGGTTTCTCTGTCTCTCTGGCGGTTCTTCTTCTTCTTCTTCTCTCCTCTCTCTCTCTCTCTCTCTCTCTCCCCCCTGGTCACGAAAGGGCCGATAAGAAGAAGACTTTCTTCCGTCTCAGCATCGGAAAACTCTATCGCACAAAAGGGAGGAGGGCAAACGATGGGTCATTAATCTTTTATATATTTCTCAAAATAAAAATCTATTTACTTGTTAATAAATAAGGAAAAGGACAAAATGGCCCCAAAATTTCCCTCCATTTCTCCTTTCCCACGTAGAATTGGAACGTGAAGCCGAAAAGTCACCGCTTTGTCCAATCTCAGCCGTCCAAAGTGTGTTGGAACATTGGATCTGATCGTCCAATGTTTTGTCGCCACCGGAAAAAGAACTCCTCCAGATCATCTCTCTCCTTCACACTTCAACATTGTGAACTGAATACTAGAAGCTTCCACTCTGGAATAGAACCAGAAGAATGGGTCTGGATCATGGAGCCTGGACCGTCTGAACCCATTTATTTAAGGCCAGGGTTTAGAAAATTGACCAATTCTATCCTTATTATTTATAGATAATGTCTTAAAATACCATTACCTTTTCTAATAATTGACATCGCTGGTAATTACTAATGGAAAAGGAAATATCAAATTTGCTAAAATAAAACCAAACTGAATTGTAGGAATCCCTGCTTTCCCGATAATTTACGATTCAGGACTCCTATTTCTATTTGTGGTCCTTGTGAAACAGCAGCTATAGATTCTAAATATCAAATAGATTGAGACTTGAGAGATTATATATAGAAGTTATAATAAGGTAGTCGGATTCCATGTGTTCGTTTCTCTTCTCTAATGATGATTGATTGCTCTCAAAACCATTGTGAACTAAGCAGAAAGTTTCTTTTTTGCGCTTTTTCTCTGAGAATCCGTTTTAAATTTCAGTGGTAATTAGTTCAAAGTTCTGCTTATTACTATCTCCTTATTGTTCTTTCCTTGTTCAAGTTTTTATTGAATGGGTGACCGGGTTGGTACAGGAACCGGGTGTGGATTAGTGGGTCCTACCAAATCAGGGTATTCTAAAATTAGATTTGAATATACCCTATAGATCAGGGTAGATTAAGGTTAGTTCTGGTGGTGGTGCAAACCTGCTAACGTTGCTAACTATTTATGCAATGGCACATTTTTTTCAAGGGAAAGTCTGATACCGAAAAGGCATGGTACCAAAAGAGATCTGACAAATCAAAGCACCCATGAATTTTGATGAATACCACCTGTTTGGTGCTTAGTCATCTTATGATACCAGTTGATTAGTTGTAAGTTTTTCAAGTATCATAGTGGAACCCCCTTTACAAATGGCCAAATGATGTATTTTAAACCTCAAATTCCCCAATAAAATGTAAGAAAAAAATTCTATGAATTGTACATTTTAAAGAAAAAAGAATTAGAAAATTTTAGGAATGAAGTGATTAAACTGAATGAGTTATTGCTTTCTCTTTTAGTGAATAGGTTCTGCCTTTTCTAAGCTCCTTGATAGTTCAATGACATGTTGGGTATATTACCATACACCTAAATATTTTATCCATTAAGAAACAAGTCATTGATTCAGTTCTTATTTCCTATTTGATTACATATCACTGATTTGATAGTTCAATGACGTGCTTTATAGCACTCCACAATGCCATCAGCTTTGAACTTAATGCCATACACCCATCGAGCCCCAATTGGATGTTTGCTTGGAGGGAGATCAACTAATGTCCAAGTATTATTACATTCCAACGCAGCTACTTTGTTAGCTATGGCTTGACACCAAAGAGGATCGGAGCTAGCCTCAACAAAGGATTTCGGTTACTGAAGGGAAGTTATATGGTTTAAGAAAGATGCATGAGAATTAGAGATGCTAGTGGATGAACCTTGAGTTGAAGTTGAGTAGCAAAAGTAATCATTGAGATGGGGGGTGAACAGAATCGCTTCAATAGTAGGTTATGGGTTTGGTTCTGGAACTTGATTTGGTTCTGAAGCTAGAGATGTTGTGGACTAGGCTAGTTGTGGTGTTGAAGAATCATAATCACCTTTCATCAGTGGCAGTGGTATGACTGTGAGAGATAGGCTTTGTTGCCGATCTAAAGCATATGGAAAATCATATTCATAAAAGACTACTTCTCGGGAAGCAAGTATTCATTCTGAGTCAAGATCATAAACTTTATAAGCTTTCTGACCAAAAGGATAGCCCACGAATATGCATCGAAGAGACCTGGAGCTAAATATGTCTCGATGAGTAGTGTTGTGGGCGTAACACAAATATCCAAAAGTGCACAAATGTTCATAGCATGGAGTACGACCAAATAATACTTCAAAAGGTGTTTTCCATGAGAGGATAGGAGATGGTAGCATATTTATGATGTAGGCTACTGTCAAAACACACTCACCCCAAAATTCCACAAGCAAAGAAGCTTGGAAGCATAGTGGTCATGTAACTTCTATTAAGTGTCGATGCTTCTATTTGACAACTCCATTATGCTATGGAGTGTCAACACAGGAGCGTTGATGTAAGATACGTACCTTGGTTAAATAAAAATTGCTGCAATGGTTGGCTTAAGAATTCCTTTCTATTGTTAGTTCGAATGCAACAAACACGGGTTTGGAATTGGTTCTCAACCATAGAACAAAAAGATGTGAAATGAATGTAAACTTTTGATTTAAACTTCATCAAATACACCCAAGCATTCCGAGAAAAATCATCTACAATTGTCAAAGAAAAAAAGCATACACCTGTGTGTCAAGGGGTATGGTATCCTCCCCAAATATCACAATATATGAGGTGAAAACAAGATGAAGTACAAGAAGTGCTTATTGGAAATGGCAGTCCAGGTTGGCGTGCCCAATGACAGACATCACATGGTGAAGCTGAAGATTGTCCTATAATAGAAATTAAAGGTGTTGTTACAATCCATTGAGCAAAGGTGTGCCCCAAAAGATGATGCCATAGTAAAAAATTGGAATGGGAGGTGGCAGCAACAACAAAGTAAAGTGATGATTGGGTTGGGTGGAGAAAATACAATCCATCATATGCTCTACCCATGCCAATCATTTGCTTCAAGGCTCGGTCTTGCAGAATGCAATGGGTAGGATAAAAGAGAGCAACACAGTCCAGAAACTTAGTAGGTTTTGATACTGATAATATATCAAAATGAAGATTGGGTACATGCAACACATCATGAATTGTAATGGTGGGAGTCAAAGTGACAGTTCATCGATGGGCAATGTGCAATGTTTTTCCATTTGGCAACCAAACCAGTCTTGCAGTATTTTCAATGAAGTAATTGTCAAATAGAGAGAGATAAGCTATCATATGGTTTGATGCCCCAGTATCAATTATCCAAGAACGTAAATACGAAGGAGATGCATGTCTCTTATTGGGGAGATTAATTGAGGTAGAGAATCGTTCTTGGTTAAGGGGTTTCATAAGCTAATTATATTGCTCTACAATTAGGCCAATAACTGGGGATCTAGAGGCATGGGATTGCTCTGTGGTGGTTGTTAAAGCCGAATTGCCTCCAGATGCCTATTCACTATTGGATCCATCATTCTTCTGTGAAGATCGATTTTTGTTCCAATTTGGTGGATAACCATGAAGCTCGAAGCACTTATCCTGTGTGACCAGTTTTTTTGTAGTAGTCTGATAGGCCCCCAATTAATTTTACGTATGTTAGGAAGGGGAAAGGTCAACTTTCAGCCAAGGGGGGAAATAATTGAACAAGGGGGAACTTATGGAGGGAATAAGGAGAGTTTTGTAGCATTTATAGCTTGTCAGTTGGGAATAAGAAGAGTGTGGGGCATTTATAAGTTGCCCAGCTGGGCATTTATTATGGAAGGCAGTTATGTTGTAAGATGTGTATAAGAAGGGGCTTTAGGGGATGGAGGAGGGAGACTTTTTTGTTGAGTACAGAATTCTAAGAGTGCTTGGGAGAGCCGACGGTCTCTCGAAGAACCAACCTATTATAAATGATCTTCTTTTCTTCTAAATGAATATCAGTTCCCTGTTGATGTACTAGTGGTTTGGATTCTGTTGTGAGTCTGTGAACTGCGTGTCAAATTTTTTGGTCATATCAATGGTATCAGAGCCTATCTTTCCTCGGCCATGGTGACAGTTAAAGAAGTGGCATCACAAGTGGAAGGATTCGAAGAACGCTTGTCTTCTCTGCATTATGATTTGCAGCTGGAGATGGATGGCTTACATAATGATTTTTAGCGTCTCAATCCAGACAAGGTAGCAGCTGGACTTTCGAAGATCTCGTCTCTAGAGAGCTCGGTCCAATCTCTGGAGGGAGGCATTCAAGATCTGGTGAGACGTTTTGATCTGTTGCTTCATCAATAGGTCTCTTTTGCTCCTTTGTCTTCTACTGACATTGCTCCTCCATTAATCGCATCGAGCCGTGTTGCTGACAAAGGGAAGAGTGTGGCATTTCCGACGTCTTCTTCGATGCTGGTGTCGGAACATACTCCTGATTCACTTCCCAGGAAGTTGGAGTTACCCATTTTTTATGGGGAAAATCTAAACGACTGGATTTTTCGTGTATAACGCTATTTTGAGATTAATGGATTGCTTCCGGTAGAGCGTCTGCGTGCTATAGTTGTTTGTTTAGAGGGCGATGCATTGGCATGGTATTACTGGAAAGATGGTCGGCGACCTTTTCGTGGTTGGACAGAATTCAAAGAGCTCCTCCTTGAACGTTTTCGATCGACTCAGAAGGGTAATTTACAGGAGCAGCTATTCTCGTTACATCAGTCTTCTACTATTAAGGAGTATCGTCGCCAATTCGAGGTGCTCTCCGCTCCCTTGCGTGACCTACCGGAATCAGTCCTTGAAGTAGCATTTGTTAATGGGTTGCGCCCAGATATCCAGCCGAACTTAGATAAATGGAACCCGTTGGGTTGATCAGGAAAATGGTTGTGGCCCAAAAGATTGAGGATAAGAATCAGGCCCTTTGGGCTTATCAATCATGTACATTTCCTCATTGGCCCACAACATCCCCCTCTGGAGCTCAAGTTGGGTTGAAGCGCAATGCTTTCATTGGAAGTTGTAGGTATCAAATATGGAAGGCTATAAGAGCATCATCTGCTGCTCCGTATTACCTTGATGATTTCTCTGAGGATGTAAACTGTTGGCAAGATGGT